CTGGCAGCCGACTGGAGGCCGCCGGCGGTGCTCGACGCTCAGCGGCTGCGGCTCAAGCCCGAGCTGCAGCCGCACCTCCGAGATCGCGGAGCGCGACATCGCGCGCGCCAACTTCATGGCGCCCCCCCTCCCCTCCCCCCCAACACCACCACCCCCTTCCTCGCAGGCGGCGGCCCTGGACGTGACGGTGGCTGAGGAGGGCAAGGTCAAGGAGCTGGTGCAGCTGCAACCGCCGCGCGGGCCATCCACCGCCGTCCCCCCTCCTCCCCAGCGCGGCCTCTCCCGCCCCCAGGTGCAGTCGCATGAGCTGTGGGCCAAGCGAGCGACGGGCGCCTTTGTCAAGCGCGGCTGCGGCGCCAGCCTGCTCGAGGCGCTCACACACCGCGGCGAGCCGCTCGAGACGACGGCAGAGTCGGAGGACGGCGGCGGCGAGCAGAGCGGCACGACGGTGCCGCGGCCCTAGAAGCCGGGAGGCGCAGCCGTTGTAGCTCCAGCCAGCGCCGGAGAGGGCACGTGCTGTCTGCCGCCTGTCTCCCGCCGCAGTCACTTGCATTCGTAGCCCGCGTGCGCACGCGGCGCCCGGAGTGAGCCTCTGCGCGAGAGGCCGCACGCCCGCCCCCTGATGGCTGCTCTGCGAGTGCTGCCCGCCGCAGGCCTGCTGCTTCTGCACCGGCAACGACGCGGCCACCACGTCCAAGTTCATGATCGGCTGCGACGCGTGCGACCGGTGGTACCACGGGCCGTGCGTCGGCGTCGACAAGAAGGCCGCCGACCAGATGACTGAGTACGTCTGCCTCTTCTGCTGCCGCAAGAGCGGCACGCCGTACAAGTACGGCCCCCCCGAGCCGGTGCCGAAGATGACGCGCCGGCCGCGGCTGCGCCAAGTCGCCGCGCTCATCGACGAGGCAAGGGCAGGGCCCCGCGCCGCACGCCCCGAGGAGAGTTGTCAACGAAGATCCGCCGTCTCACTGATGCGCAGGCGGGCACGATCCGAGATAGGGGGAGATACGGGGAGATAGAGGGAGATATGGGGAGATCTTGATGCGCAGGCGGGCACGATCCGAGATAGGGGGAGATACGGGGAGATAGAGGGAGATAGAGGGAGATCTTGATGCGCAGGCGGACAAGATCCCGCTCTCCATCCCCGAGGTCGAGCCGATGCGGCGGCTGATGAGCGAGGCGGCGGCGTGGCAGGCCGAGGCGTCGGGCGTGCTCGAGCAGGCCACATCTCCCCAGATCTCCCCAGATCTCCCCAGATCTCCCAAGATCTCCCCAGATCTCCCGCACGTCTCGGAGCCTCGGATGCGGGTTGCAGACCCCTATCTCCCCCTATCTCCCCCTATCTCCCCCTATCTCCCCCTATCTCCCCCTATCTCGTCGGGCGCGCCCGAGCAGGAGGGCAGCGCCGCACTCCCCGCCTCCAAGCTGCTCTCCGTCATCGCGGCGGGCGAGGCGTGCGAGGTCGAGCCCGAGCTGCAGTACCCGACCGACCCCGGTTCCCAAACCCAATTAAATGACGTAGGCGTGCGAGGTCGAGCCCGAGGCGCTGCCGGCGCTGCGCAAGGTCGCGGCGCAGTTCCTGGCGTGGCAGTCGCGCGCGCGCGCGGTGCTGAGCGGCGAGCGGTCGCCCCTCCACTAGTTCACAGTCTTAACGAACTGTCATTCTTCATGGTTTAGGTGCTGGGCGGCGAGCGGTCGCCGCGTCCTTAGCGACCAGTCTTCACGCACCGTTGTCGCCACATAGGTGCTGAGTGGCGAGCTGTCGCGCGACGAGCCCCTCGCACCGCACGAACTCGAGGCGGAGCGGCGGCTGCTCGCCGAGGAGGCGGAGGAGGGGGGCGGCGGAGGAGGGGGCGGCGGTGGCGGCCAGGGCGGGCGAGGCGGAGGCGGAGGCGGAGGAGGCCGCGGCGGCGCCGAGGCGGACGGGGGCGAGGCGGGCGCGGCGGGCGCAGGCGGCGGCGGCGGCGGCGGCGGCGGCGAGGGCGACAGCTGACGAGGGCGGAAGG